TCAGCCATTATCAGCTTTCCAGACTGCAGCTCCATTCATCAGTCCTCAACTTCTTTTCAAGGACACAGTCTACACTGGGGCTATAACTCAACTATCATCTAATTAAGGAGGCCAATGATCATTTGAAAGGAGTAATGAAGTATAGAAAACGCCGACGTCAGACCTTATTAGTGGCAGGCAGGACACTTTGAGAAGAGACGAGCCATTAGCCAAAAGGATACAACTAAATGAACGACTAATTAGCATCTCAAAGGAAACAGAAAGTGCAAATTGGTTCATAATTATTGTAATATCTCTGAAAATAAATATTGTCATCCATTCAGTCATGCAACAAACTCATTTGAGGAAAAAGGAACATTTTACTTATTATGTTTTGTAATCAATCCTGATAATGTGCACGGAGATGAGCCACAATTAGTAAGCATTTTGTAAATAAATGCTAATGAAGCACAATTTTAATTGGTAAATATTTTTGCACACATAAAGAAAAGCAGCTTATTGATGTTTTGCTTGTGTTGGAAGGACTAAAAGTTGATGGAAATACAAACTCCTAGTTGTTGAAGCTTGTCAAATTGCCTCCATTTAGCAGCGATTTCTTCCACAGGCATGTAATTGTGTTGCCGTCGTCCTCTCCCTCTCCTCCGTATGAAGCTCCAGATTCTGTGTCTTTATCTAATTTATGCATCTCGTGAAAGTACAAGTCTGAATTTACTGGCGCTGGGCTAATGGCATTCATTAACCTTCGCAACAGTGAAATGTTTGATTGGAATATGGCATTTCCCTCCTCAAAGAGCCGTTTCATCCCCTTTGCAATTCAAATACTTCAAATAAGTCATTAAATGCTATTTTACTTCAAACGTCCGGTTTATGTATGGTAATAACTATACCTCATAACGCTTAATGTGCGCTCTCTCTCTCTCGCTCGCTCGCGCGCGCACACACACACACACACACACACACACACACTCAGGGAAAAAGTGGTTAAAATGGTCACAAACAGAGTTCATGCTTACAGACAGCTTTCATGCGACTCTCTCTGCTGTGTCTGGATCTTAAAGCCTGATTAGAAACATTGCAGATATAATCGTGTCCTATCATTGGGCTGATCTTTGACAAATGATAGTGTATAATTAATAAACTGTGATTATGAGACTAATGATGAATCTGAGCTTGTTTGTTTAATGTTTAAATATAAAGAAAACATGTCAAAGAAGTTGACTCCAGAGACTTTTAGAGATACAAATCATGTACATCAGACTGAAAAGCGCTCATACTTAAGAAAATGAATTGGCTGTTTATTTTTTTTATTAAATGTTACTGCTGAGAAAATAGTCTTAAATATATATATCAAATATAAAAAATATATATTTCTACTACAGACAAAGACCAGATCAACGGTTTTCTTAAACAACAGTCATAATTTTAAGAACCATTGTTACCTTAAATGTTTGTTGATGAGCCTTTTTACCATAATAAAGATGAGACAATGACTAGCTAAAACGCATCACTAATAACAGACAGAGGCAGACCAAATCCTAACTGTTAAACATGATTGAGAATTAACACCAAGAAGACTCAAACTAGGTGTTGAGCAGAAAAACTGTCACACTAACACCTCACTCTTGAGGAGGATTTGGACAGACAATGGGTTACAGTTAAGGCTGTAACTAATGATTATTTTAATAATCAATGAATCGATTGATTATTTTTTTCAATTTATCAAATAATCTGATACAAAAATATTCTTAATTTCCACCTCTTTATTTCAAAAAGGAACATTTTAAATGATTGAGCAAATGAGTGCAGAAAAAACAGGTTGCTGCTTGAATGTTCAGCTACAATTAATATTAAATAATAACAATTAAAATAAAACACCTAGGGCTCTATTTTGGTGCCTCGCCGGAGACGTGCCGCAAGCGCAGCGTCAGTCAGATCCGCCGCGCTGACAAGGCGTTCCCAAGCACATTTTGTTATTTTGGTGAGCCGCGCAGCCCAGCGTAAGTATCCCCCCTCCCTAACTCAGCTCCTCCCAGCACCATAAGTCGTAGACGGGGAGGAGAGAGGGCGTGAAGTGGGTTTAACACAGCCGAGACCTGTTTTCACCAATCACATAGGCTCCTCTCCTTGCCTTTAAATCCGCCACAGGCGAGGCGTATTACTATTTTCATGAAGTAGTCAAAGAGATCAAGAGATGTCTTAAGACAGTAATGCCACAAGATGGCGACAGAGGGCAGCTCCTCAACAAGTGTCACTGTCGCATTGGGCATCCTCCACACTCTCTCATATGAGCACAGATGGATTTAGTGTGCGTAATGTTGGACCCAGTGGTAAGACAAACACCCTTTTCCACAAATAAAGACACTCATATAAAGTTGCTCATATTCAAACCTCACGTGACAAAGGTGGGTTGAGCGCACAGATCACAACATAAACTCCAAAAATGGCATTAAAATCGGAACCATCTGTGCGTAAATGACGCATCGCGCTCCGTGGCCTGGCTCTTTCTTTCATAGATGTTGGCATATAAAATAAATTTGGCTCACAAAACTGAATATTATAATATCCGTATGTCGGCTTAAAGTAGATAACTCATCTGAGCACTGAAACAAATCATCTGTTCAGCTGCAGCAGCAGCAAGACGGACAGAGGACACGGAGACGTGTCCAGGTCAAGCTTTGCGAGAAATAAGAGGAAGAGGAAGAAAGAAAAGGAGGGAGACGAATTACATATCTTGTTAACTTCATCATGTGTGTTTATTTACTAGATATTTAATTTAATTTGATGCGGTTTCAGCTGTGTTGATTCGGTCAGGTTGTGTGTCCAAACGCGTGCCAAACGCGCTCATCAGATCAGATATAGATCAGAATATATCTATATAGATCTAAATGTATGTGCTGACTCAGATTAATAGTTGATGATGATTATTTATTGCACTGAAATGTGCCTGACACTGTGGAAACCTGCCGGTGAGGCATCAGTGATGTATGTCGATGAGCCGCCGGTCTACCAAAATACTACTAGACCAGCTGCGTTCCGCCTTGCGCTGAAAGCTGACCAGGTTTGAATCGGCGAGAATTCAGCGCACTTTACACGCCGTTGGCGAGCACGAAAATGTCACTGCGCCTGCTGATTCTGTCGACACCTCCCCCTGCCACGCCACCACGCCCAGCTTGGCGGATCTCGGCTTGCCTCCGTGCAGCTCAGTCCACGAAAATACGCTGGGCTCCGCCAGACGAAAATACAACTGCGCGGGGCTCGCCGCCCTCCGCTGCCTCACCGGCGCGCACGAAAATAGAGCCCCTAATCTCTGTAAAATAGGCTTTCAGTCAAGACAGCTGCTTGCCGTGGTGTGCATGATGTCTTTCTTACCATTGAGCCTGTCATTGTTGGCTGTTTTTTTCTGGAATGAGAAAGACAGTATGGTATGAATATGTATTATAGCACAATTTACACCAACTTAATAAATTCCTTGTTTTCTTTGCAGGATTAGGTTAAGGCAAGTAAGTACACTCACCGGCCACTTTATTAGGTACACCTGTCCAACTGCTCGTTAACACTTAATTTCTAATCAGCCAATCACATGGCAGCAACTTAGTGCATTTAGGCATGTAGACATGGTCAAGACAATCTCCTGCAGTTCAAACCGAGCATCAGTATGGGGAAGAAAGGTGATTTGAGTGACTTTGAACGTGGCATGGTTGTTGGTGCCAGAAGGGCTGGTCTGAGTATTTCAGAAACTGCTGATCTACTGGGATTTTCACGCACAACCATCTCTAGGGTTTACAGAGAATGGTCCGAAAAAGAAAAAATATCCAGTGAATGGCAGTTCTGTGGGTGGAAATGCCTTGTTGATGCCAGAGGTCAGAGGAGAATGGCCAGACTGGTTCGAGCTGATAGAAAGGCAACAGTGACTCAAATAACCACCCGTTACAACCAAGGTAGGCAGAAGAGCATCTCTGAACGCACAGTACGTCGAACTTTGAGGCAGATGGGCTACAGCAGCAGAAGACCACACTGGGTGCCACTCCTTTCAGCTAAGAACAGGAAACTGAGGCTACAATTTGCACAAGCTCATCAAAATTGGACAATAGAAGATTGGAAAAACGTTGCCTGGTCTGATGAGTCTCGATTTCTGCTGCGACATTCGGATGGTAGGGTCAGAATTTGGCGTCAACAACATGAAAGCATGGATCCATCCTGCCTTGTATTAACGGTTCAGGCTGGTGGTGGTGGTGTCATGGTGTGGGGAATATTTTCTTGGCACTCTTTGGGCCCCTTGGTACCAATTGAGCATCGTTGCAACGCCACAGCCTACCTGAGTATTGTTGCTGACCATGTCCATCCCTTTATGACCACAATGTACCCAACTTCTGATGGCTACTTTCAGCAGGATAATGCGCCATGTCATAAAGCTGGAATCATCTCAGACTGGTTTCTTGAACATGACAATGAGTTCACTGTACTCAAATGGCCTCCACAGTCACCAGATCTCAATCCAATAGAGCATCTTTGGGATGTGGTGGAACGGGAGATTCGCATCATGGATGTGCAGCCGACAAATCTGCGGCAACTGTGTGATGCCATCATGTCAATATGGACCAAGCTCTCTGAGGAATGCTTCCAGCACCTTGTTGAATCTATGCCACGAAGAATTGAGGCAGTTCTGAAGGCAAAAGGGGGTCCAACCCGTTACTAGCATGGTGTACCTAATAAAGTGGCCGGTGAGTGTATATCAATGAGCAATGAAACACATACAATATACTGTATGTGTGCTATGTGTGTATACACACTTTAATCCCTGTCTAAATGCAATTTATCCTACCGCACTCATCACTCTCATACAATGAAGTGTCCACATGAAAACAAAAAAAATTGAAGCTTTATCGTTAAATTATTACCACCATAGTTTGCAAGTTAGACTTATTTATAAAGTACATTTAAACACAGCTTAAGACAATTTAACTAAAATGAAGAGTAGCTCACACACACACACACACACATCATTGGCAGTCCATCGATGTCGATGATGACATAGCTTCCTTCTGCTGTGATGAGTTGGTCAGTGGCCATCTTCGCTGTTGCCGATGCCACTGTAGATGACTGTGGCAGGATATGTGGTTCCAGAATAGGACTTCACAGTCAGGACATGTGAGGTCTGGAACAGGAGGCTGAGATGGTACTGGAGCAGCATGGGAGTGTCTTTGCTGACGCCGCACAGTTCTTTGTTGAGTGCGCTTCTCCTTGAGGTGCACGACCCCGTCATGGCACAGAGAGCACCAGAGAGGCCGATTAGCCGCAGCTGACTCCAGGTCATTGGGGTTGATGTTGCACCTCCTCAGAATGCTTTTCAGCTGGTCCTTGTAGCGCAGTTTTGGACCGCCTGGCTTCCTGTTGACTGACAGGAGCTGTCCATACAGCACTTGACGGGGCAAGCGGCAGCCAGGCATCCGGATAACATTTCCAGCCCACCAGAGTTGCTGCTGCACTCGGGTTGCCTCTATGCTGGTGGAATCAGTGCGCTGGAGGACGTCACTGTGGGGGACACGGTCCTGCCAGGTGATGTCGAGTATGCGCTGGAGGCATCTGATGTGGAACGCCTCCAGGCATTTGATATGTAGGCGATAGGCAGTCCAGGCTTCTGCCCCATAGATCAGCATGGATACACACACTGCTCTGTAGACTGCAGCTCGCGTTGAAATTCTTAAGTGGCGGTTCTCAAAGACATAAGAGTGCAGTCTACCAAAGGCAGCTGAGGCCAGATTGATGCTGGCCTTGATGTCGTGGTCAATGTGGCAGGCAGGTGTTAATATACTGCCAAGGTAACAAAACTGCTGGACGGTCTGGAGGGGTGTACCGTTGATGCCGAACACTGGATTGACAGAGGATGGACACCTCTCCTGTATCATGACCTCAGTTTTTTGGGTGTTGATCACGAGTCCTAGTGAGCTGTAGATAGAGGACATGGTGTCCAGGGCACGCTGCATGGCGGCTGGGCTATGAGCCAGTAGCGCACAGTCGTCTGCATATTGCAGCTCTTGAATGTTAGTGACCAGGGTCTTTGTCTTCGCCTGTAGGCGCCTTATGTTGAACAAACTCCCGTCCAAACGGAACTGGATTTGCACACTTCCTTTTTCCTTGATGGTCTTGTGGAATAGGAGAGTAGCTGCCGTCAGGTAAAGATTAAAGATCACAGGGGCCAGCACGCATTCCTGCTTCACCCCAACTTTCACAAGGAACGAGGGGGATTGCTGCCCTCCGACAAGTATGCATGCCTGCATGCTGTCGTGTAAATGTTTAAGGATATTGAGAAATTTGGTGGGGATACCGAATTTCTTGAGTATAGTCCAGAGGATTTCCCGGTCAACAGTGTCAATGGCCTTAGCTAGGTCAATGAAAGTGAGGTAGAGTTCCTTGTTTTGCTCCCTGCACTTTTCCTGGATTTGGCATGCAGCAAAAATCATGTCCAGAGTGCTTCGGCTCTTTCTGAAGCCACATTGTGTCTCTGGAAGAATGTTCTCTGTGACGTGAGTTGTTAGTCGAAACAGCATTATTTTTGCGAGCACCTTGCCAGCAACCGAGAGGAGAGAGATACCGCGACTGTTCCCACAGCATGACTTGTCTCCATTCTTCTTGTATATAGTGACAATGTTACTGTCTTTCCACTCTTGAGGCAAGGTCTCATTTTGCCAGGTGTTGCAGGTGAAGCGGAAAAGCTGGCATATACACAGGTATCCCCCCCCTTCTTAAAGATCTCAGCCGGGAGTCCATCAGGGCCAGGGCTCTTGTTGTTTTTGAGACTCCTGATTGCGGAGAGGACCTCAGTGAACTTTGCGGGTTCATCAAGGGAAGGGACTGGTGGTAGGTCTGGGAGAGCATCAAGGACAGAAGGATCAGAGGGGTTTGTTGTGTTAAGCAGGGTGTCAAAGTGTTCGGCCCAACGCTCAATAATCTGTTCTTTGTCCTTGAATAGTACAGAGCCGTCTGCAGATCTTACAGGGGCGATGTTACGCTTCTGCAGGCCATACAAGGATTTCACGGCCTCGTAGAAGGCATGAGCGTTGTTGTCATCTGCGTGCCTCTGTATCTCTTCTGCTTTTTTGAGCCACCATTCATTCTCCATGGTCCTGAGTTGTTTTTGGGTCTCACCTCGGATGGCTTTGTAGCGAGCGTGGAGCGATGGAGAGTGCGGGTTGGAAAGCATGGCAGCATGGGCTTTGCGCTTGGTTTCCAGAAGCTCTTGTATTGCAGGAGAGCTATTGTCAAACCAGTCCTGGTGGCCGATGGTCTCGGAGGCAGTGTCGTATATAATTGACCTCAGTTTTGCCCACTCATTCTCCATGTTAGGGACGTTGTTGTAGTCCTTCAGGGTGGCGAGTGGCTTAGCCAGTGTGTTGCGTAGCTGGGATATGCAATCTGGAGATGCCAGGGCCTTGCAGTTGAGTCACTCGCTAGGTTGTGGTTTCTTGTGTGGAGGTCAGATCCGCAGCTTGAATTTAGATCTAATCAGCCAGTGGTCAGTCCAGCATGCCGCTCCACGCATAGCCCGGGTTGTGCAGACGTCACTTGTATCTTGTTGGCGGGTGATAATGTAGTTCAATAAGTGCCAGTGTTTGGACCTGGGGTGCAGCCATGATGTTATAAACTTCTTTTTCATCTGAAAGATGGTGTTGGTTATGAGAAGCTGATGTTCAGAGCACAGAGTGAGGAGTCTGAGGCCGTTGCTGTTTATTTTGCCTATTCCATGACTTCCGGTCACTGGTTTCCAAATCTTGGCATCAGTGCCTACTCAGGCATTGAAGTCACCCATCAGAATCAGCTTATCAGAATCAGGGATTTTGGATAGAGCAGCATCAAGGGACGCATAGAAGGCATCTTTAATGTTGTTATCGGCATCCAGGGTGGGGGAATAGGCACTCACTAGCGTAGCGAATCGGCCTTTTACCAGTGGGATACGCCAGGTCATGAGGCGCTCACTAATGCCTTGGGGGGACTCGGGGATGTTATTGAGTAGTTTGCTTTTTACAGTAAAGCCCACACCATGGAGTCTTCGTTCATTCTCCGGGAGACCCTTCCAGAAGAAGGTGTACCCTTAACCAACCTCTGTGAGTGAGTCCTCTCCAGAGAACTGAGTCTCGCTAAGTGCTGCAATATCAATATTGTATCTCTTAAGCTCATGTGCAATGAGGGCAATCCGTCTTCAAGGTCTCTGTGTCTCAGCATGGGCGTCAAGGGGGGTGCAGACATTCCAGGTAGCCAGATTCAGGGTCATTGTTTTATCTTTATTGTTTTTGCGACCGCAAATAAGTTTGGATCTCTCTTAGTCTGGAACCTCCCCTTCGACCTTACCGCCATGGTTGAACCTACCAGGAGCTTAAGCTCCAGGCGGCATCGCTCTCAGGTTCATTGGAACACGCAAGGTTCTCCACCACACACACACACACACACACACATACACATACACACACACACACACATATTCTATTACACAGCTAACGAGCAAACAGCAGGATCAGGCACACACACACACACACACACACACACACACACACACACGTATTCTATTACACAGCTAACAAGCAAACAGCAGGATCAGGCAAGCTACTGTTATGTACCCTTTCTTCCAGATGTAACAAATGTAGGATATGTAGCAACTTATCCTGCTGTTGAGCGCCCTTCATTGATAACTCCAACATGTTTGCGCCAGTGGCGTCATTTCAGTTTCAGTTTCAGACAAGGTATGGCATCATATGAATACGTTTATTTAATTAATTTGCCTTTCTCTAAATTGAAAGGTTTGCATTTATTTAGTCTAGTCAAATTCATTTACATTTAGTCTATGTTGGTCAAACACTTTACAGCAACAAAATTCAATCTTGTTGTCTGAACCAATGTGGGTTTCATCTGTTTAATTTATGTTGGTCTTGTTGAATGTGTTGTGCGGCAGGCTTGTAGTGAGGACCCAGAAGCAGACACTGAGACAGAGCTCAACGTAAAACGAATTTAATGTCCAAAAAGAGAAAGGGATAGATAAGGGAACAAAGGAAGTCCGGTTGGTTGGCTGGTAGGCTGGCTGTCGTGTGGGCTGGAGACACTGCAGGAGAAACCAGAGGAGACCGGAGTTAAAGGACATGCAAAGAGTCACAAGGAGTAAAGTTCTCAAAGTTATACCACGAGGTTTTGGCCAGGAGACGCGTCTTTACCGCTGGGCAGGGTAGACAATACTCAGGCGCTGAGACTGAGGGCTGCAGGCTTCTTAAAGTCCCTTGATTGGAGACGAGTAGCAGGTGTGTCGTCTCACTCAGCCTCAGCGCCGGGGGAGGGGAGGAAGCCCTGGAAAAGAGCACAGCCAGAACAGGCAGATAGGGAAAAACAAGAAGTCCAGCCAAAATAACACAGGATGAGGAGGCGTCTCACCACAGTACCCCCCTTAACGAACGCCTCTTGGCGTTCTGCCGGGCTTGTTGGGGTGGGCAGCGTAGAACTCCTCCAGGAGTTGGTGGTCCAGGATGAGGGAGCGGGAGATCCAGGAACGTTCCTCTGGACCGTAACCCTCCCAGTCCACGAGGTATTGGAAGCCTCGCCCCCGAGGCCGCACGTCCAGGATTTTCCTTACAGTGAAGGCAGGGTGGTCATCAATCAATCGGGGGGTGGAGGGGCGACGGAAGGAGGGCTCAGGGTGCATGAGGCAACAGGTTTTAACAAGGAGACATGGAATGTGGGATGAATTTTGAGAGATGAGGGAAGTTTTAATCTCACCGCTGAAGGGTTGATGATTTTCTGGATAGGGAAGGGACCAATGAAGCGGGGGGACAGCTTGCGGGACTCGGTCTGCAGGGGAAGGTCACGAGACGATAACCAGACCATCTGACCAGGACGATAGTCTGGTGCTGGAGAGCGGTGAACGTCAGCCAGGCGTTTGTTGCGCTCGGCCGTGCGGGTGAGTGCGGCCCTGGCCGATCTCCACACCTCCCGTAGACGCCCAATGTGCTCCCTCACCGACGGGACGGCCACAGGTTGCTCCTGTTCGGGAAACAGGGGGGCTGGTACCCAAAACAGCACATGAATGGGGACATACCTGTGGCTGAAGAGGTGAGGGAGTTATGGGCGTATTGGATCCACGGGAGGTGCGTACTCCAGGACGCTGGATGATGGGCCGCCACACACCGCAGGGCCGACTCGAGGTTCTGATTAGCCCGCTCCGTCTGGCCATTGGTCTGTGGGTGGTAACCCGAGGAGAGGCTAGCTGCTGCGCCCACTGCCTGGCAGAAAGCTCTCCAGACCTGAGAGGAAAACTGAGGACCACGATCTGACACGATGTCACGGGGAATCCCATGTAATTGAAATACATGAGTGACTAGGAGGTTAGCAGTTTGGAAGGCAGATGGGAGCTTGGGTAAAGGGACATAGTGAACAAATTTGGAGAATCTGTCAATGATGGTGAGTATGACAGTGTTACCTTCAGAGGGAGGGAGACCAGTGACGAAATCCAAGGCTATGTGGGACCAGGGGCGTGAAGGCACAGGCAGAGGACGCAGCAAGCCAGCCGGAGGTTGGTGGGAGGCTTTGCTTCGGGCACAGACGGAGCAGGCAGCAACAAACGCCCGTACGTCCCGGACCATCCCCGGCCACCAGAACCGCTGCTGGAGGAATTGGAGGGTGCGTTGAAACCCGGGGTGGCAGGTGAGCTTGGAGGAGTGCCCCCACTGTAGGACCTGAGAGCGTGCGACCTCAGGGACGAACTTTCTGTCCGGCGGGCCGGTTCCGGGGTCTGGGTGGTTCCGGAGGGCCTGGTCCACGATAGTATCGATCTCCCAGGTGGCGGAGCCGACGACACAGGAGGCGGGGAGGATGGTGTCTGGTTGACTGGGGTCCGGAGTATCCAAGGCGTGGATCCGAGAGAGGGCGTCTGGTTTGAGGTTGCGGGAGCCGGGACGATAGGAGAGGGTGAAATTGAATCTGCTGAGAAAAAGGGACCAGCGGGCTTGCCTGGGGTTGAGGCGACGAGCGGAGCGGAGGTATTGCAGGTTCTTGTGGTCTGTCCAGATTAGAAACGGTTGGGAAGCTCCTTCCAGCCAGTGTCTCCATTCTTGCAGTGCCCACACGACAGCCAGTAATTCACGGTTTCCCACGTCGTAATTTTGTTCCGTGGCTGAGAGTTTCCGGGAGAAAAAGGCGCAAGGATGAAGCTTCTGGGTCTGAGAGTCCCTCTGTGAAAGGACGGCCCCTACTCCAGAGTCCGAAGCGTCGACCTCCACCATGAACTGAAGCGAGGGATCTGGGTGTTTGAGCACCGGGGCGGAGATGAAGAGGGATTTGAGGTGATGGAAGGTGGCGTCTGCTTCGGGGGTCCAGGAGAATGGAACCTTTAGGGATGTGAGCCGGGTGAGGGGAACTGCGACCTTACTGTAGTTCTTAATGAACCGTCGATAGAAATTAGCGAAGCCGAGGAATCGCTGGAGGTCTTTGCGGGAGGAGGGGGTGGGCCAGTCACGGACAGCGCGGACTTTTTCTGGGTCTGGGCGTAGCTCCCCCTGGGCGATGATGTAACCAAGGAAACTGACGGAGGAGGCGTGGAACTCGCACTTTTCGGGCTTCACGAAAAGGCGGTTTTCGAGGAGGCGCTGAAGGATGAGTCGGACGTGCTGCTGGTGTTCCTCCAGGTTTCGGGAGAAGATCAGAATATCATCTAAGTAGACGAAGGCGAACTTGTTAATCATGTCGCGGAGGACATCATTAATGAGGGTCTGGAACACAGCAGGAGCGTTGGTGAGGCCAAAGGGCATGACCAGGTATTCGAAGTGGCCCATGGGTGTGTTAAAGGCCGTCTTCCATTCGTCCCCCTCCCGGATGCGAACCAGGTGATAGGCATTCCGGAGGTCCAGTTTTGAGAAGATGGTGGCTTGACAGAGAGGTTCGAAGGAGGGATCAATGAGTGGTAGGGGATATTTGTTTTTAATGGTGATATCATTTAATCCACGGAAGTCAATGCAGGGACGGAGAGAGGAATCTTTTTTCTTCACGAAGAAAAAACCAGCAGCCAGGGGAGAAGATGAGGGTCGGATGAGTCCTGAGGTCAGGGAGTCTTGAATATAGTCCTCCATGGCCTCTCGTTCGGGCCGAGAGAGGTTGTACAGTCTACTACTGGGAAGAGGGGCTCCAGGGAGCAGGTCTATGGCGCAGTCGTAGGGGCGATGAGGAGGAAGAATGAGAGACTGCTCCTTGCTGAATACCATTGCTAGGTCATGGTAGACGGGGGGAACCGAGGTGAGAGATGGCGGTGGAGATGCTGACCTCTGTCGGTGGATGTGAGGATTGGCGGAGCGGAGGCAGTGGGAGTGA